GCTCTTAAGATCGGCCTCAGAGGCCTTGGTCCTGGCTCATGGAAGCCTGGCAGGAACCAGGATCAGGGTCTTCTTGGTGATGGCTCCCCTTCTATGCAGCTTGCTCTCCTGACAAATCTATCTGGCCCCTCCTCTTCAGAGTTCCAAGGAGAACGTTTGCTGCTGTTTATGACGGTGTTGTTTTAGGAATTATGATTTTAATAATATAGGCTGTAATTCTACATATAGATGGACATTTTAAATACTCCCAATCCCTACATTAGAATCGAAGAATTGTGGGAGGGAACACAAGGGTCATCTAGTCCAACCCCAGGCAATGTAGGAACTTTTGCCCAAGGTGGGGCTTGAATTCAAAACCCTGAGATTAAGAGTCTAATGCTCTGCCCCTTGTGGAAGAGATCACGCCCAGAAATTGTTTAAAAAGGAATTTAGATAAATATCAGATTCTCTGTTCGAAATCTGGGTCACTGGAGTGCAAAGTGAAGGGTCTCCAAAAACCATGAATGTAACAGCAAAGAGTGGAGCCCCAATCTCTTTTATGTAGATTTCCAGAAACACGGAGTTATGCCTTTTACTGACTGGTGCTCTTGAAGATTACATTAGGACAAATTCAGATGCGGTTGTTATATATATGTATGCATGTATGTATATTCTCCTTTGCTGTCTTTCCTTCTTCCCAAATTCCCACTCCCTGTGTGCCCCTGCCCAGCAGTCAACAAGACATGGAAGAATCATCTCCTAGCAAATGTCACGTCTCTGCAAAACATTCATTAGGGAAAGTGAGTTGCTGCCTGCCTCCGAAATCACAGAATGTGCATTCCGCCACCCCACCCCCAACCGCCGGAAAATTAGCAAAATAAAACCAGCAAAATGTCAGTAAATATCAGCATAATTTAACCAGCTTCCCTTTACTAAATATGACCTTACGTGTAAGTAAAACAACTTCCTGATGTCGTCTCCTCTTCCCCGAGAACTCTGGATTTGCCTCCAAGTGTGACTTTGCTCCTTATTGCTTCAGTGCATTAGGGATTGCCATGGTTTGAGCATGATCCTGTTGTCCCAGACTGTGTACAAATGCCCTTTTTCCTCCAAGCTCTTTATCATCTTGTAAACCACTTAGAAAGCCATTCATGTCATTCTTCCTCAGGGACATTTGTCAGGGGCTGCTGGACCCATATATAGCATCCCCATGTGTGTCGCTGTGGTCTAAACCACTGAGCCTCTTGGGCTTGCTGATCGGAAGGTCGACGGTTCAAATCCCTCTGAGGGGGTGAGCGCCCATTGCTCTGTCCCAGCTCCTGCCAACCTAATAAGTTTGAAAGCATGCCAGTACAAGTAGATAAATAGGTACCGCAGTAGTGGGAAGGTAAACGGCATTTCCATGCGCTCTGGCACTTGTCACGGTCCTCTGTGCGCCATTAGTGGTTTAGTCATGCTGGCCACATGACCCAGAAAACTGTCTGTGGACAAACGCCGGCTCCCTTGGCCTGAAAGTGAGATGAGCTCCGCAATCCCATAGTTGCCTTTGACTGGACTTAAATATCCAGGGGTCCTTTACCTTTACCTTTTACCTAAACCACAGAGCTGTAGGCAGCAGCTTCCATACCCTCCAACATTTCTCTGATGAAAATAGGGACATCCTATTTAACAACAACAACACTTTTATTATTTGTACTCCACCCATTTGACTTGGTTGCCCCAGTCACTCTGAGCAGCTTCAAGCATATATAAAAACATAATAAAACAATAAAAAAAATTCCCTCTACAGGGCTGCCTTCAGGTGTCTTCTAAAGGTTGTATAGTTACTTATCTCCTTGGTTTAAGGGTCACATAACTCCATACCCTCCAATATTTCTCAAATGAAAATACTTTTGCATACCTTTCTCTGATGAAAATAGGGATGTCCTGAGGAAAAGCAGGACATTCTAGGATCAAATCAGAAGCTGAAACAGCTTCTAGAAAATAAGGTTCTGGGTAGGTTCTGAGCTTTTGGGCAAATAACCTTCTAGGCCTAGGCAGATTCCACCCACCCAGACTTGCTATTAGATCCTCATGGGCCGGAAGGGTTTCCTGTTCCAACTGAGCCTTGTTTGAGCAGCAATGGTGTTGGGTGTTTCTGGCTAGTTCTTTGGTCCTCAGTTTTGCTTTGTCTCCTTGCTTGTGATTTACCATATTTTTTGCTCTATAAGACTCACTTTTTCCCTCCTAAAAAGTAAGGGGAAATGTGTGTGTGTCTTATGGAGCGAATGCAGGCTGCGCAGCTTTCCCAGAAGCCAGAACAGCAAGAGGGATAACTGCTTTCACTGCGCAGTGATCCCTCTTGCTGTTCTGGCTTCTGAGATTCAGAATATTTTTTTTCTTGTTTTCCTTCTCCAAAAACTAGGTGCGTCTTGTGGTCTGGTGCGTCTTATAGAGCGAAAAATACAGTGCCTCAAACTTCAGCCAACCCAGTATTGACAGCATATCACTGAGCCAGGACACCTAATGGCAAGGGATTTGCAACCGGCCCAACCACAATGCCCATGAGATGATTCAGTTGCTACAGTCTTAGGTGTTGCGCTGCCTGTGATGCCTCCATCTCCAGTTCCCTCGTCCTCACCCTCCAACTCTGCTGTAATGGCCCAGCAGGTCTGAAAGCCCACTTTTCCACTCTGAGTAAACTTTGTGCAAGCAGATGAGGATGAACGCTCAATAAACTGGTCAACTGGAGGATCCCCTTCTTCATGTCGTATGAATTTGAATTTGCGTTAGGTATATTTTACATCATAATTTCATGCAGCTATTCCACACACAAGGAGAGAAGGGGCAGTTGAAGACTTCATTTGAGAAGCATTTTTTTTTTTTTAAGTCATCTCAGCACAATCCTATAAATGTCTACTCAGAAGTAAGCCCTATTATTTTCAATGGGGCTTTCTCCCTGGTAATTGTTCATTGGATCACAGCCTCAGTTTGTCAAGAGAGGAACGCCGTCATGGACTTTTGGTTGAGCTCAAGAACACAACAATTCAGTTGGGTACATTTAAATAAAACAGAGGGCATCGCTAATGGTGGTGCTCATGACCTTTCAATGAGTTAAAATGCCATTAATAATAGAGCCAAGATAAATAATGGGTGAATGAACCTGAACAATCTCTCTCTCTCTCTCTCTCTCTCTCTCTCTCTCTCGGCTTAATTATTTGTGCCTCTATGACTCCCTTTTCTACTTGGCCTGTAATGTAGCACTCCCCACCAGCTCAAAACCAATTCACTTTTTTCCTTTCCTTTTCAGGAGGAAGGCTGGTCATTGATGTTAGCAATAAAAATCACTTGCGAGAGATTCTGCAGCCCATTTGGCACTTGAGAGGGAAGAGAGAAAAATGCGGGCAAGGACAAAAATGACAAATGACACTTCCGTGCATCATGCCTGATTGCGGTGACTTTTTTTTGTTTTGTTTTCATCACAAGCCACATTCAAAGGCAAACGGTTTGAGATAGTTCTATCTCTCCTGATTGCAGTCCTTCATCTTCTGGGATTGTTAACACATTCTTTACATTTGGGAATACAACCCCTACCTTTATACAGGACAGAGGCAGAGAACCTGTGGTCCTCCAGACGTCACTGAACACCAGTCCAGACAGGACCTACTGACCATTGTCCCTGGCGGTGAGCTGTGTCACTGCAACTTCCTCATGAAGAGCTTTTTAGAGAATTACCTTCAGTGCCGCTCCTGCACAGGAAGTCATATAAGAAGACTTCCTGCCTCAGCTGAACTTTGTTCTGAGCTCTGCTAAGTCTGTAGCTTTACTCTTTGATCCTGCCTTATTAAAGAATGGGCAACTTGCTCTTTCATTAGCATCCTGCTTTCCAGTGGTTTTAGTTAGAGTTACAGGAACTGCCCCACTCTCTTTCACCATTAACTAATCTAGCCACCTGTTTGAGACCGGATGTCCCTGTTCTGCCAGATCCTAAACCCCTATACCAGGCTTCCTCAAACTCGGCCCTCCAGATGGTTTTGGTCTTCAACCGCCATGATCCCTAGCTAGCAGGACCAGTGGTCAGGGATGATGGGAACTGTAGTCTCAAAACATCTGGAGGGCCGAGTTTGAGGAAGCCTGCCCTGTACAGTCTCATGGCTTCTGAGCATTTATACTTTGTATACTTGTCTTTGTGACAGAACTGTAATTCAACTAAAAACAGGATCGGTGGTGAAGCCTGGCTGTGTAAATGACAGGTTAGACTACTGCAATGTGTCATACATGGGACTGCTTTTGAAGACTGTTCAGAGACTAAAGCTAGTACAGAACACACTGGCTACATTGCTTGCTGAACATGAAGGCATGAACATGAAACACTGGTTCTGGCTCAACTGTAGATTTGTTTCCAGGCCCAATTCAAAATGCTGGGTTTGGCCTTACAGTCTTATGCATCTTGGACCACCTTTCCCTGTATGAACCTGCCCGGACCCTGAGATTGCCAGCTGACGCCCTTCTCTGTGCACCACCTCCAAAGAAAGTCCAGGGGATGGCAGTGAGGGAGCTGGCCTTTTCTATAGTAGCCCCTGTTTATTGTGCATTTATTAATTTTGTATCCCACCCTTCCTCCAAAAGTAGCCTGGGCATCCAACACACAAGGAACAGAACATCCAAAACCAGCTCAGATACAGAAAAAGAAACAAATTAGGATAAATATCTCCACTTCAAAGACTTGTTGAAAAGAGAAAGTCTTCAGTCTCTTTCTGAAGAGACAACCAAGATGTCACTAGTCTAATATTTAACAAGCAGGAATTCCAGCACCTTGAATTTGGTCTGGTTTATGGAATGCTCTCCCCATGAAGGCCTGCCAAGCACCAACCTTGTCATTATTTCAATGCAGGAAAAGATGGCTTTGTATTTTCACAGACATATGGGCAGTGCTAGTGATATAATATATTATGGTTGATCTCTTTTAGTGGGAAGTGATGTATAAAGGGAATAAATATAAGTCCAATGAGATGTTCCCAGACTGGTTGAAGATCACTGTTTTAGGTGCTTTTCCCAAGATCAAACTGTCCTTGTAACTGTTCCACCAGCAGCAGCCTGGCTCCATATCCATATCCAAAACTTGATGTCATCAGAGAATAGAACACCTGTTTGCTCAGGCCTCCATCCATGTCTGTTGGGGTTGTGACGCTCGGCTTGCATAAGGGTTGGCTGACGTGAAGCTGCCTTTTGACTGTGTGTTCGTCATGATGGATGACTGCGGTCCAAAATGTAGACATCATCACCACATGAAGTCCTTTGCTGGGCTCTGACATGTTGGCAACCAGAGAGGAAACGTTTAGCGAGGCGACTGCATGAGCATCCCTGCACAGCATGGATCTGTAGGATTGTGTCAATTACATTTCTCGCCTCTCGACATAATTGGATGTAGAGGGAAGAGTGCCAGCCGAGGGGGTACGAAACAGACAAAGCTCTCTGAGGATTCTCTATACAAAGCACATATCTGATGATATACTCATTCCTTTGAGTGATGTTTGCTCGGATGCGGTTCTCAGTCAATCGTGCCCTAAATCTATGACTCACCGACATTTTCCATCAACTGTTAAGACAATCCCTATAGGAGGCTTACTCACGGCTGGCCTTTGCCCCTGCTGGTTGCAGGGAAGCAGAAGAATTTAGGTAAAGACATTCGCTGTATGCAGCATCACAAACACTGACTCCTGGTGGACACTGGGTGCCTGGAAAAGATGGACCTCAGGTACGATCAAGCAGGAAGCTTCTTACACACTTATTAAAGTTGAAAATGGAAGACAAGATGGCAATTTGGAAGTGCTTGGAGAAATCAATGCCAAAACACCCCAGGAGAAAACCAAAGGTAGCAGAGGGACTATTGTCCCTTATTCACAATCCACATTGCTGTGATCATCTGGAGAAGTGCTCCCAACTTCCCCTAAGTTACCAGGTGTTCATTTAGTTTCTAAGTGGACTAACTCTTTTTTTTTTTTTTTAATAATATTTATTGAGATTTCAAAAGAAAACAGAAAAAATACAAAAATTACACAAAAGCAAAAAATAAGAGATACAAAAACTTACACACAATATGAAAAAGATACAAAAGTAAAAATAAAATGAAAATATAAAAAAGTAAGAAATACAGAAAAAAGATAATAGTAAAGAAGAAAAACATTAGACCTCCTCCTCCTCCCTTCCTTTGTATTCTAGTTATTAATTATCCCAGCAAATCCTTTCCATTTTTCTATTATATGATAAACCTTACAATTTAAAATTTAAATCTTAATTATACCAACTTCTTATATTCATAATGTTCTTTCACAAATCCTTTCCTTCTATTATAAAATAAACTTTAAAATTTAAAATTTAGATCTTGACTTTACCCACTTCTTATATTCATAATGTTCTTTCATAATTCTTTATACCTTTTTGCTAAAGCCAGGTAAATTCTTCCAACATTTTCCTATCATTCATTTTTCTCTCATTCTATCATTCATCAGCTTTATAAAACATTCTATTAATTAAAAAAACAATAAAAAAACAAAAAAGGAGAAAGAAGCATATAATCAAGTCCAATCTTAATCCAACGTCCCTTCCTCCTGGTTTCGGGATTTGTCAGTCCTTATTAATCAAACTAACCCGGTGACCTTATGTCCGAGGCCCTCAAGTCACTTCCATGGCCCTTCCGCAACTTTTCTTCATATTTGTGGCTGTAGTCACTTGCTCGTAGTAGCTCCAACTTAATAATGCTTTTAACCCTTCTCATCAGATCAGATCCTTTCCCCTGTTCATCGCTGCATTCCATATAGTATTTAAGAGCATACTTCAAGGGCCCCCAAATTTGTGGACCCCACATTTCCAAACATGTCGCAGCCTGTTACTGAATTTCCAAATTCAATTATCAAGTCCGAAGGGTCAAGCTCCTGTTGAGGCTGTTCTGTCAAGCCACACTCCTGATTTAATGCCACAAACCCCTGTTCTGTCAAAACACACTCCTGGTTTGAGTCCTGGATAGACTCCACATCTATTCCCACAGTTTGATCAACGCCTTCCACTGCCAGTCCGAGATTTCCAGTCGACTTGGCCATCTGGTTCACCTTATCATGTAGTTCTTCCAGTAGAATATTTGTTTCTTTGAGCAGGCAAACCACAGCTTCTGAAAACATTGTTGCACTCTCCCACGGTTCTTTGTAACAACTATCAAGTCCTTGGCATTTAGTTACAGTTTCTAAAGCTCCCCCTAAGGGGAAGACTTATATTTCTTTCTGATACATTTCCATGTTACTTAAAATCCTTTATCCTTATATATTCGTTTAAAGTACGAAAGGGAACAATAGAGTCACAAAAATTTTCTTCTTTTAACCATCTGACACACACAGATACCTTGATTTGTTCACGTCAGTCCTGACTTCCCGCTCCAGGATCAGGACGAAGATAACTTCCTTTTACTGCTTCAAATAGTCCAAAAATAATATTCCCAATTTAAAATGTTGGATTCCACTCTTTTAAAAGCAGTTTTCAAAGCTCTAGTACAATTTAACTTTGCTTTGTTATGTTTACAAAAGAACGGAAGGGTGACTTCCTGTTTAGCCCTTACCGCTTCGTACCAAATTCAATCAATTTTCTTTCTTTTTGTAGTCCAATTCTGCCCTTTTCACTAATCTTCCTTTAATATCCCAATTTGTCCAAATTCTGGGTACTCACGGATATTTGTTTAAAAGTCCGAATTGTCCAGGAAAAAAGGCAGCGCTCTCCGGCAACAGCTACGCGGCTTCACTCCACAAAAGAAGCAGACGACTCACAGCACAGCGCCTTCACTTCCCCGCTCTGTTTCGGAGCCCGTTGCCGGGTTCCTTTGCAGACCGGGGCGCAAACAGTGCCCGCCGAGTCCCAGGGTCACAGGCTTCACCCGCCTGTGGTTTGAAGGGTCCCCGCTGCGCCGAAGCGGTTTTAGACCCGATTTCTGTGGAGCGATCTCCCTCTAAGTTAGAGGGATTCCGCCATTGCCGTTGGCGCCACCTCCGGAAGTCCTAAGTGGACTAACTCTTTCAGTGCCGTGGTACCACAGCTTTGGAGCTTGGGAGTCAGAGGTGGGTCTCGGATCTGGACCAGTTGAAGACCGCTCAGTTAAACTGTGCATAAAATGCACACATTAGTGAAAACAACGTGCAGGAATGCATTCTGAAAGGGAGAATTTATTTGTGAAAAAGGTGCATAATAGGCAAAATTGCATAGCAGGATGTGGGACTATGGGGGAGCAAGCCCTCTTGGGGTGCTGATGCTGGGAACCCCTCCATTGTAGGCTTAGTTTGTATACATAAGCCATATATCACAGAGAGGCCACAGTTTCCACTGTCCCTCATTCTAAAAGAAACGCAAACCCTGGATAAGTGCCTGGAAACCCTGGAATCTTGCACTGCTTGGGGGTCGGTGTGGCATGCAAAAGTAACAACCTGGAGCCCTACTGATTCCAAGTCAACAATTTAGGCTAAATAATCCAATTTCTATATATGTATAGACTGGCAGACTTGAAGCGGAGCATGAAATTTGTGCTTCTAACCAGGAAGGGCAGGGGCTCCAAGCCATCACTGACTGTCTCCCACAGATAAAGCAATGGGTTGTGCGCGCACATGTGTTTGAACCCCATGGCTGAGTGCTGACTGGCTCAGAGATAAAAAGAAACATGAGCAGCATCTGGATTTTTGCCAGTGGCACTCTGGAAGCCTGAGAAGCACTGTAGTTCCTTCCGTGACCTTGTTGCTGTTGAATCAGCGCTGTGCCTGTTGACATGTGCTCAGATGAGCGCTATGACCCACCCCTGCTGTTGTACCTTCCTCCCTACCTTGGGCACAGGATTGAAATCCTCTCTCTGCAGATGCTGCCTGGTGTGATAATAGTAATTTTCCTGATAGGCCATCTGGCTACAGATGGCAAGTTCTTTGCCTCGGTCCAGTATATCTGAAGGAGCGTCTCCACCCCCATCGTTCTACCCGGACACTGAGGTCCAGCTTCAAGGGCCTTCTGGCGGTTCCCTCACTGCGAGAAGCCAAGTTACAGGGAACCAGGCAGAGGGCCTTCTCGGTAGTGGCGCCCGCCCTGTGGTCCGCCCTCCCACCAGATGTCAAAGAGAACAACAACTACCAGACTTTTAGAAGACATCTGAAGGCGGCCCTGTTTAGGGAAGCTTTTAATGTTTGATGTAGTACAGTATTTTAAAAATTTTTTTGGAAGCTGCCCAGAGTGGCTGGGGAAGCCCAGCCAGATAGGCGGGGTATAAATAAATAAATATAATAATAAATATAATAATACTACTACTACTACTACTACTAATAATAATAATAATAATTTTGAGGCAGGGCTCTGCAAGCAGTCTGCAACAGGTCACCCTTCCACCACAAGGCACGGGGAGGGAAGTTTGTGTAATGCTCTCCAAAGATGGATCTGCTTGGCACCTTCTCTTCTATCTTCTAGGGCCCTTCCAGATGATCTAGTTATTCAGCATTCATCCTGATTCGCTCGCACAAAGTTTATGTGGAAGTTAGACTATGACTGTTTTTTATAGAGCATTCGTTCTGATTCGTTTGTGACAGGGGAGGGAAAACTCTTGGGATCACGAGCCTGCAATTTCTCCCGGCTCCCGAGCTACAATTCTCAGAGTTCGCAGTGGAGGGATTGATTCTTAAACCACTCTGAGAATTGTAGTTCTGTGAGGGGAATAAGGTTCAGAGGTTGCTTCACACACACACACACACACACACACACACACACACACACACAGAGAGAGACCCACACCCACACCCCAGACCCTTCAAGTGTCCCTATTTACTAGCCATCCTGGTTTCCGATTTGATCCCGGAATGTCCCATTTTTCCTTAGGACGTCCCTATTTTCAGCAGAGAAATGTTGGAGGGTGACCCCCAAGCCAAGGAGGTAAGTAACTATACAAACGTTTAGAAGACATCTGAAGGAAACCCTGCAGAGGGAAGGTTGATGATGATGATGATGATGGAATAGGATATCCGTATTTTCATCTGAAAAATATTGAGGGAGGGATATGACACACACTTCTTTATCCTCCAAGCAGGCAAGGTAGAGGTATGGCCACAGTTCAAGACTATATTCCAGTTAAGCAAATGCACTGGAGGAGACCACAGAGCAGGATTGATGAGGAGTATGGCCTTGGGAGAGACTCAAGGGCTATATGTTGTTTAGTCATATAGTCGTGTCTGACTCTTCGAGACCCCATGGACCAGAGCACGCCAGGCACTCCTGTCTTCCACTGCCTCCCACGGTTTGGTCAAAC